TATAAGTCTGACCACAGATTTTCAGTTTCCTTGGTTGGATAATCATTTTATTTTCTGCCCTCTAAACAGGGACATTCCCCAAGGCCCTCTTCTCTCTCTCTTTACGTAGATTTCTTGGTGATCTCTTCAGATACTCTAGGTTTAATTATCATCTCAACACACATGACTACATACCTAGCCCTAATCTCTCTTCCAAATTCCTAAATACCAACAATTATCTACCTAAATGTCCTATAGGCATTTCAAACATGACATGTCTATCCAAAACAAAACATAATACTACATTTCTCCTCACTCTCATTGCTTAATTCCTAGAAACAATAATTTATATTTGCTGTCTCTATTTCTATACCAACCATTAATTTCTCAACCTCTTCAAAATTTACCACTTAACTGAAACTGCTCTCTCAATGACCCCTTAATTGCTAAATTCAACAGTCTTCATCACCCTTGACCTTTCTGCAGCTTTTGATATTGCTGTTTTTATGTTTTCCTTTGTTAGTCTCTCTTACCCTGGTTTTCAGAATACTGCTCAGTCCTCCTATACATGTATATTTAGGCATTAAACTGTATTTTTATATAATGTTTCTTTCTATCTTATATATTTTATCTATTTAAAAACATTATTCAGAGAAGGGATCCATGCTTCACCCAACAGTCAAAGGGACTCTTAACACAAAAAAGGTTAAGAATATGTGGACTAGACATTTTAAAATAATCCTAAGATCAGGTTTTATGTTCAGTGTGAAATAAGATAGCAGGTACTTGATAATACTTGATGAATTGGATTTAAGATCAGATTACAAAGATATAAATTCATTAAAGCAAATTTACTATTCACAAATTGATGATGATTTTTCTTTATGAAATGTCTGAATTTCTCTTTCATCAATGAAAAAGCACACTGTTATTACTAAGTATGCAAAGTAATAAGATTTCATCCTCTCTCTTTTTGAATAAACACATTTTTAATTTTTCAAAATAAAATTTAAAACTCAATAGCACTCTGATCTCAGCCACCACCTCAGAAATGTAACTGTCTTATGAATAAGCTGTCATTTTAAACTAATTGGAACACCAGTTATAAATATAACACAGTAATTAAATTACTCACTAATTTGGATGCAACATTACAAAGGGTACATAAAAGGAACAGACACAAATCAAGAGAATTTCTAGATTTTAATGATGCGTCTTTTTCTGGGGATAAGCAACAGTTAAAATTTATTTCATGTCCCAATTAAGAAAGATATAATCATATACAATTTGCCTGTGCTGCGAATGAAAGTAAATCAATTTAGGATCATTTCCTATTTTATCTGTACAAGGAAAATAAAGCTTTCGTAATGGTGAGTGCGAACTTACTTATTCAACAATAAGAATTCAAGAAAGTAAAAATGATTAGCATTCAAGTACTGGAGTGGAAATTTGGACCTCAAGAAACTAATAATAATGATAACAGCTAACATTTATGTAGCATTTATTAGGTTCCAGGCATTGTGCTAAGTGCTTTACAATCATTTTCTCATTTGATCCTCAAAACACAAGAGGTACTATTATTTATCTCCATTTTACAGATGAGGAAACTGAGGCAAACTGAGGTTAAGTGAATTGCCCAGGATCACACAGTTAATAAATGTCTGAGGCAGGATTTGAACTCAGGTATTCCTAACTCCACCCCCAGTGCTCTATCCACTGCAACACCTACCTACCCCATAACTATCAACTGTGAAACTAAAACACAGACATTACCATCAATGCAAAAAGTGAAGAGGATGCCAACTTAGCAATAAAACAGAGGATGAGTAACTAGGTGCCACAGTGGATAGGGCACTAGGCTTGGAATCAGGAAAACTCATCTTCAATGAGTTCAAATCTGGCCTCAGATACTCACTAGCCATATGACCTTGGGCAAGTCACTTAACCCCGTTTGCCTCAGTTCCTCATCTGTAAAAATGAGCTACAGAAGCAAATGCAAACCACTCCAGTATCTTTCTCCTCAAAAAAAATCCAAAAAGTGGTCACAAAGAATCAGACATGACTGAAACAAATGAACAACAAAGCTTTGTGAGGTGGTTCACTATGCCCTGAAGTAAATCCCTGCATCTTCATAACTGCTTATTATGCTTATCAAAATTCAATTTAATCCAACAAATCTCTACTAAATGCCTCCCATGGTAGGCCCTCGAGGAAGACAAGCAGATGTGAGACATGGCCTCTACCCTTATGGAATGCACAGCCTAGTAGAGGGATGACACATAGACAGATAACAAGAAGTATTTATGAGATGACTAGTATATTTAACATGCTGTGCTGGGCACTGAGGAGACAGACAAAGGCAAGCCAGGAAGCATTGACTGATGCCTTGCTATGTATGTCAGGAACTGCGCTAAGCACTAGAGATACAAATACGTGCAAAAAGAAAAAGGGTCCCTGACACAATACTTGCCCTTAAGAAGGTTACATTCTAACAGGGGAAGACAAGGTACAAAAGGGAGATGGAAAGCAGGAATGGTGAAGAAATGAGAGGGGGATATGGTGACAAAATCAATGGAGTCAGAAGCCCAGCTGAAAGAAAAATAAAGTATGGCCAGCTTGGAAGGTGTCCCCAAAATGGAAGCCCTGAAAGGAACTTACTAATGAGAAAAGGGGGATCACCAAAAAAGCATTTATTTATAAAATACTTTTTGAAGTTTGCAAGGCACTTTACAAATACTTTCTTATTTTATTCTTACAACCCTGGAAGGTAGGTGCTATTATTATCCCCATTTTACAATTGAGATTACTGAGGCATGCAAAGTTAAAGTGATTTACCCAGGGTCATGCAGCTAGAAAGTGCCTGAGGCTGAATTTGAATTCAAGTCTTCCTTAGTCCAGGTCCCGGTCCAGGTCCAACACATTCTATCTAGATGCTACATAGCTGTCACAAAGATGAAACAGTCCCTAACCTCAAGGAGTTTACATTGTAATAGGGGGATACAAGATGTAACACAGATAAGTAAATAGGGGAGAGAAAACTAATAATTGGAAGGATTAAGAAAGGCTTCACTTAGGAAGTGTCACCAGAGATGAACCTTTAAAAAAGCAGATTTTTAGAACACAGAAGTGAGGAGTAATAGCTACTTCTAAGTCTTTAGAAGAACCTGTTAGCACAGTGGATAAAGCACTGGGTCTGGAGTTAGAAGATGAGAGTTCAAATGTAGCCTTAGATACGTAGTAGCTGTGTGATCCTGGGCAAAACATTTAACTTCTGTTTGCCTCATTTTCCTCAGCTGTAAAATGGAGATAATAGTAGCACCTACCTCATGGGTTTTGTGGGGATCAAATAAGCTAATATTTGTAAAAAGTGCTTAGCACAGTGCCTGGCACATAATAGGTGCTACATAAGTCCCCTTCTCCTTCCCCTTAAGAAGCTTGAATGTTTGTGCTACACTCCATAAAGTTCACTTAAATTTGTCCAAAAATAAATGTTAATGGAATAATATATCTACTAATCTAAATCAAAAGAAAAAGAAAATGAAACAGACACTGTATCTCAAACTATTTATTAAACTAGATGAAGTCCTCTTATTGTGAATAATAAGAGTGCATGATACCCAATATCACTCTTTGTCTTCCTAAGCCAGTAGGAAATACCTGTGGTCAAACACTAAAACCTCATAGTGAAATTTTCTATCCTGAAATGGGCTACACTCTTCAGTGGAAGTAAGTGAAAATGAAAAGCAGTCAACAATATTGCTATAAAAATCCTTATGGTATGCTAAGTAATAACAAGAATAAGCCTAGATGGGGAAATATTACCCCATTATACACTAATTACTACTGTAGTTGATTTCCTCAACCAGTAATTATGGTTTTCATCATCGGACAGGGAGCAGGATGATCTCTATTGTAGGTACTATATAGTGTGGACATAAAGATGTCCAATTATAATGCTAAACAGGAAGAGTAGGGGCTCATCCAATTTAGGTGAATTAAAGCCAAGCAGCCACTTTCACCCCTATTAAATGGTGAAATAGAAGCTAGCTACACAAGCGACAAGTTTCTTCATTGTTATATGGTACCATGGTGGCTACTTAGACTTCCCTGACCTCACCCAAGGTACAGTTTAAACATTAGATATAATGCATGGTGTTCCTAAATTATCTTTCCTAGATTAAATATAATTGAAAATTGAAAGCACAGTTTGCCTTTTGGGCTAATCCAATCAAAATAATCGCAGACATTTCTCCTTCAAGTGACACTCAAACAAATAGGATGGGCTTCCCTAAGCTGTATAGCAACCATGTTAACATTCTTTTCTGTACCAAGAAAATGGAGTAACTATAGTTCTAGTCTCAAGATTAATTATTTACTTTATTAGTTCCAACAATGATCAATGTTAGTACTGAACATATTTGCCAAATCTTACTCCTTGGAGTGAAATGAGAAATTTATGCTATCCAGACATGGAAATGTCCAATACATCTTCATTTGCTAATTACTACAATCAGGTCATCAACTCTTATCTTAACGGCTAGCTTTTAACTTTTTAGAAAGGAAAATAATTAAATTAATTAAACAATAATTCATTTGTAAAAAAAAAGTTTATTAATTTGTTAATTATTCTTCCCTGATTCAGACATTATTCATTGAATCTTTAGAATAAAACCAATTTAACATAACAAAATATCTAGAAAGTAACAGTATCACTTTAATGGACTTCAACAAATACAAGTTAGTTATATCAATGGTGTCAAACTCAAATAGAAATAGGGGCCACTAAACTTTCCATAAGGATCCCTGCAGGCCCATATTGACTAAGAAAACCACTTATTTAACGTTATCACTGTTCACCCAAATTTGCAGCTTTTCTAGAGGCTATGAGAAAAGCTTGTTAAACTTTTCAAATTTATTTTTCTTTATAATGGTATTGTCATTGTATAAATAGTTCTCCTGGTTTGCCTTAGCAGCTACCTATAACACAACAACAGGATTTAAAAGTTAAATAAAATTCTTACCACTTGGCTTAGGTCGTATCCCCAAGGAAGAAAAAGGACTCCAGTATTATATTTTTCCCAATGGGACAACATGAAGTTAAGCAAAACAATGCTCAGAAACAAGAACATCGTGTGCTCGGAAAGTCCTGAGGAGCCCCCTGGACTTGCACAAACAGAGAACCAAGAAATCGTGAAAAGGGAAGTAGCCCAGCTATCCAACCCATGGTCAAATAGCTCTCCCAGAGGACTACTGGACTGTGTTCTTCTAGCATGTTTCCCATCTATAGAATCTGTAAAAGAAAGACAACAAAGAAATCAGACTTTAATGGGAGAAATATAACCCAATGTACTTTTTATGGTCAATACATGAAATATATGTAATAAAAAAGAAATAAGATGATGGGATCATAGCTCTAAAGCTGGAAGGATACTCAGAAGTAACTAACTCTACCTACCCCTTCATTTTTACAAGTGAGGAAACCAAGTCCCCAAGAGAGGTAGACAAGAGACTTGCTCAACACCATGCAGGTAGTTTATGGCAGAGCTGGGATTTGGACTTGGGTCAGGGACTCCAAGTTCAGCATTCTTCCTACTGCACCATGCTGATGAATAAAATCAATAACATATTGCACACAAAAACATAACTATCACTGACCATTATAAAAAAAAACTTTTCTACAAAGATTTTGTTTATTGTGTGCTAATACAAATGTCCAGGTTAGTCAATTCGTTAGAAATAACCATCTATTCATCGGAAAGAATTTACCCACTTGTTTATTGGTTTGTCATATATCTATATATATCATATATCAATAGACCAGGTTCTCATTCTTGTAGATTTGTAGACTGAATTTAAGTTGTGTTAAAGTCTAGAATGTGAAAACATCTATATATTTATTTCTAGCACAAATAAACAGTTATTTCTATATAAAAATTAATCAGCTCATAAATAATCAAAATTAGTGTTATTTATTCTCATGAGGTTGTTCTGTAGTAACTAAAAGAATATGTGGTCCATGAGGTGCTTCACCAAGTACCATCAACAAAAAAAAGATTGAAAACTAGACAGCAGTTAACAAGCATTTATAAAATGCTTGCTATGTGCTAAGCAGGTATCATTGTGCTAAGCACTGGGGACACATAAAAGGCAAAAAAAAAATCTCTACTGTAAAGGAGCATATATTATAATCAAGGAGATAACATATAAATAACTAGGAATATATACAGAATAGATGAAGATCACCTGATCTTATCTCCACTTTGCATCTGCTACTCTCCCTGGTTCCTACTCCTCAGAACAAGATGCCCCTCCCAGGATAAGCTCATTACCTCTAAACTCTCCACCATGCTGCTAACTTAAACCTTGATTGACACCAACCCCCTCAGCTTCCTCTCCTCTCTGCCTCTGAATGGGAAGAGTACCAAATTCCTCCCAACACCTTCCTTTGTAGAGAGCAGAAACAGAATCTCAGATCATTCTACTTTGCATCTACATGCTCTGAACACCATTGAGTAAGCCACCCACTGTTGTCCCATTCCCCTTCCCCACTGTCCTGCCTCCTTTTGGGTGTCATCTCCCCCTTTAGAAAATCCTTGAGAACAGGGACTTTCTTTTTTATTAATTGTATCCCTAGCATTTAGCAAAGTGCCTGGCTAGTAGGTGCTTAACAAACATTTATTGGATTGGTTTATTGGACTGGATTGAAAGGGCAACCACCAGTGTAAATAAAACAGCTGTCTGATTGAATTTTTCACTTTTTGAGGGTATTGATAGTAGAGATCATTTCATTTTTGTCTCTACCACCAGCACCTAGTATAATGCCTGGCATGAAGCATTAGTCACTCAACAGTCATTTATTATGCACTTACTATATGCCAGGTGCTTAATAAATAAATATTTGTTCTGATAGCATCTGAATACAGACCAAAGCATATTATTTTAATTTTCTTTCCCTTTTTCATTGGAGGAGGGAGTGTTGAGTTTTTTCCACAAAATGACTAACATGGAAATATGTTTCACAAGATTGTCCATGTATAGCCTATATCAGATTGCTTACTGTCTCAGAAGGGGGAAGAGGAGAGAAGTATAAAATTTAGAACACAAACCTTAAAAAAAAATGCCAAATGCTAAAAGTTGTTTTTATACGTAATTAGGGGGAAATAAAATATTACTTTAAAAATCTGATGAAATGAATTGAGCACATTTTCAGTAATATTATCTCCTCAAATACCCCCAGATAAAAATAGTTCCATGTTCTAAACCTAAAATAAACCTAAAATAAAAAGAACAAAACAAAAAACAAAAAGACCAGAATGGAAAATATTCAGCCCAAATAATAATGCTGCTAATAAAATGTATGTTAACTTTAGTTTGCTCCACCATGATTTTATGATGATTTTTCTGTGAAAATACAGAAGGTAAAGTGGTCCTTGATAAAGATGTTTCAACTGGTCAGCTATAGTAGAATAAGATGAAGATGCATGGCAGAGTTTGGATTGGGAAACCTGACATCAAGTACTTGGAGGGGTATATTTTGCACTAAGGCGATAAAGGAAGAGTGGTACCATATTGTGGAGAGACTTGAATCCTTGGCTCATGAATCCTAGCTTTATTTAGCAGAAAATAGTCAGAGAAGACTTTTTAGCAGATAAGTCAACATCTGTGTGCATAAGGAATATTATTAGTTTGGAAGTAAGAATGAAGAATAGATAGAAAGAGAAACACAGTCACTAGCTAAACCTTTAGCTAATACCTTAACAGAATTTTGAAACAAAAAAGGAGTACCTCAGAAATGATCTAGTCCAACACATCCATTTTACAGATAAGTAAACTGAGTCCCAGAGAAGTGAAATAACTTGTTTCATATCACAGCTTTTTCATGACAGAACTGGAACTAGAACTCCCATCTAATTATTTGGTCACTAATTAAAAGAACATAATTAAAACAAAGGATATAGTCCTTGAGGTGGAAGCAAGATGGCAGGTGAATGCCAAATGGAGAAAATAGAAGTAGATAAGAACAATGGAAAGATGTCAAAGGAATTCTGAGTACTTCCTCAGCTTACAAAGGTCAGTCCTAACTATGCCACTTAAATCAAAGGTTACTGGCTGCATAGTGAGAACTGTCAACTCAAGTCAAAATAACTCTTGTTTACTACATCACAATTGGCCACCACGTAACTAATTGTATAATCACAAATACAACTATAACAGTTTCTGATAAAATACAAATATATCTTTACGTATTTTGTTTTCATATAAATATCTGTAATATTGAATGGAGTGGAGAAAGAAATGCTGAACAGTAAAATCATTCCTAAGTCCTGTTGTTTTGAGCTGTCCAAGTGACTATCGTAAAAATCCAGCTGGTGGTTTTTAATGCCAATCTGAGAATCCTGCCTGAGGTTTAACTTAAAATAAGGTTATGCATGTTGTAATACATTTGTTCCTTACAAGACAAGATTTACACAATGGGATTCTTTTTTGTGTTCAATATACCTCTCATTATTGGAAAACTGTAGTGTTAAAAAGAAGATCTCCCAATTAAAACACAGACCTAATCGCCGAAGCATCTTGAGCAGGGTAAACAGGAAAGAAAATGAAGGACCAAGGAACTGGGGAGTCTACAAGAATTTTTCATTAAAAAAAAACTGCACACGATTGCCAACAATTCTGTGGTTTAAGCTGCTTTCAGAAGGAGGAATGTGATAATAGCTCCTGGGTGGAATAATTTTTGGCTAGACTTGTTTAAATCTGAGCCTAAAACTTTGAGAGAACAGCTTGGACTGCATTTATAATTTTTTTAAAGTGCTATGCATTTCATCGTACTGTGGCCTTGCCAGACACTGGGCCTTTAGGGAGTCTGGCACCAGATTTTACACCAGCAAAGTGAACTCTAATACACTAGTTGTTATGAGCTGCACAACTCCACAATCAGCATTAATGAATGTGTGCCATGTCCCTAAAGTTCTGCTGGGGTCTTTCGAATAGACCCCTAAAATAGAATTCAAAGGCTTTTTCATTAGGGAAAATAATACAATTTCATTAAACCTCTAGAAGAGAGTCAATCTAAATTAGGAGGGGTGCCATAAGTAGGAGAGAAGAGATAAATACAACTAGTGTTTCTATTACTTTTCCTTTAAATCCTTATTTTTTTCTCTTCTTTTAACAAATAGATCTCAAATTTCCAGAAACATAGCTTACTTTTAGACTTCATTTATATTTTTCACTAATGCTGTCTGTTAATTAAATGTATTTTTATTCCTTTACAGAAAGTTTCTGAAAATGCGATTTTTGTTCTTTTATCACATTTCTGAAGTGACTGGCAACTAGGTGGTATGGTGGATAGAGTTCTAGGCCTGGAGTCAGGAAAACCTGAGCTCAAATCCTGTCTCAGATACTTACTAGCTCTGTGACCCTGGTAAATCATTTAACTTCTGTTTGCCTTATTTTCCTTTAACTTCTTTTTGCCTTATTTTCCTCATCTGTAAAATGGGGATAATAATAGCACCTATCTCCCAAGGTATTAGTAAGGAATAAATAAGATATCCTTGAAGCATTTAGCATAGTACCTGGCATATATCAGGTACCTAGTAAATGCCTGTTCCTTTTCTTCCTCTTGTAAATGTTTTCCTCATTAAAAAATTAGGCTTCTTGAGAAAGTAGAAATAATAAACTGAGCTAATATAGTTTCAGTTTCTATAGAGGCAGTTAGGTGGTACAGTGGATAAAGTGCTGACCTTGGAGTCTGGAAGACTTAAGTTAAAGCTTCAGATACTCCCTAGCCTTATGACACTAGGTAAGTCACTTAATTCTCTGTCAGCCTCCATTCACTCTTCTATAAAATGGGGATAATAAAAGTATGTATTTCACAGGGTTGCTGTGACGGTCAAGTAGATGTTCAAAGCACTTTGCAAATTTTAATGCATTCTATAAATGCTAGCTATTATTATTAGTATTATTTCAGACTGCCATACAAATAATGCAGTTCTTTAGAATTTTCAAAGCACTTTGTTCAGGACACCCCTGTGAGGTGGATAGTATAAAGCATTGTCTCCTTTTTGTAGATAAAGAAACTTAGTCTCGGGGAGGTTGTGTCCCTTATCCAAGTTAATACAGCCAGAAAGTGCTAGAGCCACATTTAGACCCATGTCTCCCCATTCTAAATCCGATCTCTTCCCATGATGCTATATTATCTGCTAAGTGAGAACAGAGTTTGGTCTGAGGTCACATTTGAACTCAGGTCCTCCTGACCTCAGGGCCAGTGCTCTATCCACTGGGCCACCTAGCTGCCCAAGATTATCTTTTCTTATACATCTTATACGTGCAAGTCGATTTGAAATCATTGAAAATTGTTCCTAGTATGACATAATTACCTTAAAATAAAAACTCTAGGTGAGCTAGAAAGTGTTACGCATAAATACAGAAAGGCAAAAGTAATTGGTCTTTAAAAATTAAGCATCAAATTCAAAGTAATTACAAAAATGAAGAAGTAACCACTGCCATTATCATCAAAACCTAATTTACTAAAGATGACATATCTAAATTCTTGACTTTAGAAGATTTTTTTTCTCAATTTCATTTCTTAGATTCTTTATTTTGTTTTGCTTTTAGGAAGAGAAAAAAGAGAGATTCTTAGGGGATGGGAGGGAAAATAGCAGGAGAAAAAAAAGGAAGATCTAGATAGAAGACCTAACCTAGAAGTTGCTATGGAGGACAAGAAGGAATGCTTTTTATATTTCTCTTTAAACTTTTATATATGAAATGTTCAAAAAGGTCTGATCCTTTGGAAGGTTAAATCATTGTTTTCCTCACAAGTCAAATATTTAAAGAATTCTCTTTATAGACTGTAAAGTCCCCAAATTTCTCTTGTTCAAAGAATCTTTTGTTAAATGAAAAGGTAGGGATTTATTTACAAAGCAATCATCCCTGAAATTCACTAACAGCCCTATTTTGTAAGGCCAGAAGGTGGCAGCAGTTTCTCATACAATTTTCTAACACTAGCAGTGTGGTTCCTATGCTGTTCTGCCATGTAAGTTTTCAGAATGTCTCTCACTAAAGAGGAATTATCATTTATTTATGCCACTATGTCTAGTCAAGCTATATTTCTAAAGCAAAAAGACTTGCCCTAGAGAATTTGATTCATTTTTACACTATCACCTATTTGGAAATTCACATCAGGCATAATATAGTTCAAAATAGCAAAGTTGTCAGGCAAGGTGGGGGGGGGAAGGGAAATTGGGAAAATGAGTAGAAAGAAAAAAAAGGAATAAAAAAGTGAGCACTTGTCCTTACTTTGATCACAAGATGAAGCAAATTAGCTTGTCTACAGTAGTCCAGTCCAAAAAAAAAATCAGCTAGGAGATTTAGGTATATGTTGTCAATCTTAATTTCTAACAGATGGATTTGGGAGCTTGTAAACTCATACTACAAATGGGTATTTGAAGGGTTTTGTCTTGTCATCATCATCACTACACTCCACTATGGGGGATATGATAGTTTCACATTTCCCACAATAGATGCTCCAAACCTCTTTCCTCAAACCTTTAACCATATCTTTTCTTACTCTCAAATAATGGCTTTTCCTTCTACTAGGAAAAAATTTGGCCATCAATGTGAACTTCAATTTCAATGTCCTTCTCTTAGCATTTCAAAGTTCTCACTCCTTTTTTCCTCTTTTCCTCCAGTTCCAGTGGGAAAAGGTAGTCCTCCTCCTGGTCAAGGCAAATATCTCCACCTGTACTTCTCAACCTATTTCACATCTCTCTTGTGGCCTTGCTCCATCAACCACACCCTGTCCTTTACATCTCCCCCTTTTGAGTGGCTCCTGCTACAGTACAAAGTATGTTTAGGTCACCCCAATCCTAAGAACAAGCCCAAAACAAAACAAAACAAAATCTTCCATTGATCCTGCTGCTCCCTCAAGCTATTATACTCACTAACTACATTGTCTCACAACTCACACTTTCCTCAATACATTACAATTTGGCTTCCAATTCCTCCAATCTCCTCAGCTTTCTGATAATAAATGAATGACCTCCTTATCACTAAATTCAGTGGCCTAATTTCTGTCCTCATCTTCTTTGACTTCTCTTGAGCAACTGATCACCTTCTAGATATCCTTTCTTCCCTCTGGCTTGGGCAACACTACATTCTCTGGATTCTCTTTTCTTTCCTTTCCAACAGCTTCCTTTCTCTTTTGTTGGTTCTTCATATCTCCACCTCTGGTATCCCCCCAAGTTCTGCCTTTGTCCCTCTTGTCACCTTCTTTCTGTATTCTCTTCTTTGTTGGTCTGATTCACTATTTGAATTATCACCTCTATAAAATGACTCCTAAAGCTTTCTCCTTTCCTCAAACATCTCCTTATTTCTCACCCAGTTGCACTCATTTGGGATTTCTTTAGCTTCTCCACCAAGCCCACCTGATCATGTACCCTCTCCCCACCATTCCCTTTTCAGGTTTGTGTGTGTGTATTTGTTGTCTTCTTCCGTTTATTGTAAGCTCCTTGAGGGCAGAAACTATCTTTCTTTTTACATATTTGAATTCCTAGCACTTAGCATAGTGCCTGGCACTATGACCTGACCCTCCTTAATAAATGTTTATTACCTATTGACTATTGATCTCCACTATCAAATTCTTCCAAGAGCTGCCATCCTATACTTAACAATTATTAGACATCTCCATTTGCATTTCCCACCAATAAATCAAAATAAATCTTCTTCTCAAATATGCCCCTCTCCTTATTTTTCATGGTTATCTTTGATTCTTCTCTGTTCCCCGATTCCCACATCCAATCCCTTTGTCAAGTCCTATAGATTTTACCTCTGTCTCTTTCCCATCTATCCTTTCCTCTCAACTCTTTATGTAACCACTCTGGTTCAGACCCTCATCTCTTCTCATGTCTGCCTTTTGAAGTCCTGCCCTTCCTCCCAAGATAATTCAGGCACCTGTCTTTCAATGAAGGCTCCTCCCTCTCCCATCTCCACCCTGGCCCTCCACTCCCATGAAAAGTGATATCTACCTCCTCAAGTTTCCCACAGCACTTTGTCTAAACCATTCTCCATACTTACATTATCCCTAGGATCCCAATTTTCTGCAATTATGACACCTTCTTTATTCCCCCTCCCCTGAACTCTCCACCCACCCTGCCCCATTATAACTTCCTCTACTATAATTTCTCCCATTAGCTCCCAAACCCCTTGAAAGCAAGGTCTGTGTCATCTATCTATCTCTAGCTCCCAGCAAAGTACCTTTCTTTCCAAAGGTACTTAATAAATGTTGATTCAACTGAATTTAATTGAACTCATTTAGCCGAATATGCATTATCTTTTGGTAGAAGTATACTCACCACAACAATGCTGATAGGACCAGCTCAAGCTAACAGTTTCATTGCACTAGGTAGGAAAGGGAAGAAATGGCCTAAGCGGACAGACCATTAGCATTAGCCCTGCTAAAAAATATGATTTTGGCCACCACCCCTCCTCAGATTCCTATAATGCTCTGACCCCAATCCCACTCAGCTTTTGCTGGAATTGATCACTGCTTCTGAATTAGTCTTGCCTTGATATAAATGATACTTACCAATAGCTTTTCCAAAAAAAAAATGACATTTCCCTTAAATTTTATGGCTCAAAAGGATATTCAAGGCAGTTAGGTGGCACAGTGGATAAAGCACCAGCCCTGGAATCAGGGGGTCCTAAGTTCAGATCTAGCCTCAGACACATGATACTTACTATTTGTGTGACTCTGGGCAAGTCACTTAACTTCAATTGCCTCACCAAAAAAAAAAAAAGGATATTCAATTCATCTGGACTGGAAGTTTTCTTACTTTGGAACACCTCATTCACCTGACCTGCTGGATTAGATATCATACTAAGTAAGATTTGTCAGTTCTTATCATGGGCAAATTGATGCCTGATGCATAAAGAGCCACATTCTTCCCATCATGAATGTAACTCTAACCATAAATACTCTGGTCTTTAGCTGTATGTGATGCTTTGAATCAAAACACTCTCACACTAACCCCCACAATGCTTAGAACTTAGACTCCTATTTCAGATGGATTTCTCCCCAACAGCCCTCTCCCCACCCCACCCCCATTTGTACCAGGATTCATCTAGGCCAGTAACTAAATTCCAAGTAGAGGCTTAGGAACAGAACCTGATGGGGCTTATACAATAACCTCCCAACCTTGGCAAACCTATGAAGCCCTTAACAGGGCAGCTGCCATTGTTCAAAACATTTTTGTAAATCTTCATTTTAATTTATTTTCAGAAGTTGGGATTCATTTTTTGCCTTGGTAGTGGAAAATCTGAATGCTCTGAGAATAAATGTGATTTTTAAACATAGCCCCAAATTATTCAGAGCTACTTTCAACTCTGGACAAGTCATTTAACCTCTTCTAGACTTAGTTTCCTCATTTATAAAATAGGGGAAATAGCAGTTGTCATATAAGCCCTGACACATCAGGTAAATATGAGTCATCATCATTCGTATTATTCTGATAAAGTAAAAAATTAATTTCAACAATATGATTTTTTCCAGTCCTCCTTAATTCTAGTGCCTCCCCTCCGAGATTACTGCATTTATCCTGCATGTATCTTGTTCGTAGATAGTGGTTACATGTTGTTTCCAAGAGGACAGGTATTGTTTTTGCTTTTCTCTGTATTCCCATTGCTTAGCACAGGCTTCTGAGGATATCCTTGTATTATACAGTAATCATTGTATAAACACAATATAATAATGATATTCATTGTCACTATCCCACTGTTATAATTTTCAAAGCCATGTTTTCAGTACAAAAAGTAAAGAGCTTTACTTTAGAAAAGACTAATTTATATTTAGTATATTTGGTTCAAGAAAGTAGGGATATGGATTATATTTGTCAATAGCTTCCAACAAAAATTATTTTTTTCCTTAAATGTTATGATTCAAAGGGGTAAGCTTTAATTCAGCTGGAGGTTTTCCTGCTTTGGAACACCTCATTCACCTGAGCTGCTGGATTAGATATTACCATACTAATTAAGATTTGTCGATTATTTTAGTGAACAATTTTTTTTCATACTGTACCTAAAGCATAGGCAGAAAAAGTAGAGAGAGCAGCAAACCACCACACCCAGTTTGGAATAAGCCGGGAACCTGCAAAATACATGAATAAAGAATATGGATCATACCCAAGATATTCACAGAAATTACTATACATAACACCTCTTATCATCTTATATAATTATTTAATAGTATTCATACCAAAATAAGCTTAACTATTATGCCCTTTAATATATTTGCTATCCACAGACTTCATGCAGGTTATGTAAAATGTCAAAAGTTCAATTCATGCCCACGTCCTCTTACTCCAAATCTAGTGCTTTTTCCATTAATACCACATTGCCTCCCACAATAACTGTTTGACTTATTTTAAGCAGTGAGTCACAGACATTTTTGGGTATCATGAAGTTCCAGTTTGAAATTGCTGGGCCTTCAGATGACTTGGTCTAACCCCTTCACTTCATAGTTGAGGAAACAGATCTGAAAATGGATGTACCACAAACATCTACAAGTCAACGAGTCCAAAATAGAATTCCTGAGAGGTTAAGGAGGGTCACATTGCTGGTTTAGGGGCAGAGGGTGATGCCTAGTCATTTAAGCAGACAAAATAAATATTGAGTTAAATTGACAAGTTACTCATACTCACTTCACATATCCAATCTGTTGCCAAATCTCATCATTTCTATCTTCATAATATTTTCCCTATATATTCTTTTCTCCCCTCACACAGCCACCACCTTGATGCAATCTTCATTGCCCTCACAGTTAGTCTACTACCATAGCCTTCTGGCTGGCTTTCCTACGTCAACTATTGCCCCATTCTAATCTATCCTACTTGTTTCCAAAGAGATTTCCCTGTGGTTGACCCAACTCACCACCACCACCAATAAACTCCAGAGGCTTGCCATTATCTTCAAGATCCACATAAAATCTATCTGGCATTTAAAGCTTTTCATTGATTATTTGGCCCCTTCCTAGTTTTCCTGTCTCCTTACACTTTATTCCCCTCCAAATCCTCTATGATCCAGCAATACTGGCTTTGCTGCTCCTTGGATGGGACACTCCATCTCCCACCTCCATGCTTTTTCACTGACTGCTTTCCCATGTCCCAAATGCTATTCCTTCTCCTGGCTTTCTAGCCTCCTTATCTCACCTTCTGCAAGAGGCCTTTTTCCAAGTCCCTTCCCCATTCCCAAACTGCTGACTTCTTTCTGAGATTACCTCCACTTACACTTTATATATCTCAAATATGCCTCTTTTTTGCATATGGGGTCCGCCATTAGAATGGGAGCTCCTTGAGAGCAGGGGATGTGCTTTTGTTTTTCTTTGCATGTCCATCCCTTACCAGTGTGCCTGGAACATAGAAACTACTTAATAAATGTTTGTTGACTAAGTGACTGGCATCTCTGTGTCTGAGACTTTACTTAAAAATAGAAGGATTGGATTAGATTAGAATTTGCCACCCCAGGCTGTTCTGTGAACCAGTAAAATTATTCTATTATTGACCACAGATAGCAAAAGGTAGGTGGCTTGCAGCTCAAAAAATGGAGATTAAGATCCAGGGAGAAGGAGGAAACAGGAGGGTTAGAGGGATAGGATGTTGTAATATGGAAGAGGAATCAATCTGTTAAGTTTATGGGCTTTAGGAAGTAAAGGCCTTCAGAATTATAAGTTTTACAAACTAAAAAGAGAAACAGAATATTTGACTGCATGTTTTTAAAGACCAAGCTTGGACCCAAAGAAAAGAGAAGAAAATGCATCTTCCTCCCTTTTGGGGAAGATGTCAGGCACTATAAGCATGAAACACTGCATATGCTATCAGATTCAATTGATGTGCTGGGTTTTTTGGGGTTTTGGGGGTTTTTTTGCTGCTGAATTGCTTTTTTTCTCTTTTTAATCTTTGTTACATGGGATGACTCTGGGGAAAATAGGGGGAAGAAATCTATTTTAAAATAAAATTTTTAAAAACACATCTCAATAAAAAACTTTTTAATTAAAAAAAAGTGTTACAAGCTAGTTTAAGGTCCCCTGGCTGGGAAATGATGGCTGGATGATTTCTAAAGTCACCAGTTTTAAATAGTCCCGTGATCTTATGACATACAAGTTGGCCTTAGGAATACTTAAGACCTAGAGTTGTATTTTACAGAACTCAAACATTTTCATCAAAAAAGTGATAGCTTTTCTTTTTTCTACCCCTATCATTTTTTAATATCTGCTTTCCCTCTCCCAAGCCATTTCTTTACAACAAAGATTAAAGAAGGAAGACAGAAAAAGGACAGCTCAACAAAGCTCAGCACCCCACCCCCCCACCCCCAAGTAACAGTGTATGCAGTACTGCACATCCATATGATCTCTCACCTCTGCGGTGAAGGGAGAAAAGTACATTTTCTTCAACCCTCCTCCAGGACCAAACTTGGTCATTATAAATAAGTAGAGTTCAGTTTCATTTTTGTCTTTTGTTTGTTTTGTTTTGTTTTGTTTGGGAGAAGCGGGGATGAAAATATTTTCCAAGGCAATGGGTTCTTGTTAAGTGGACTCATCTAGGCACCAGAAAGGACTGCAGGCATTAGTCTCCTTGCTTCCCTGCTGGCAGCCTGCTGCTTAAGGTTGAACATTATATTTATATACCCATGAATTCCCTTTTCAAAGAACTGCCTCAGGGATATTTCCTATAATTACCAACTAGTCCCAACCCCTCATCAATCTGATAACTAACATAGAAACCTGGATTGCTTATGGGTAAGGGAATATGACAGAGGGAAGGAACAGGTTTGACTATTTTTGTATGACTTTTGTTTTCAGTAAAAATTATTTGTAATCCTACCAAATTGCCAACTCCATCTTTTTTTTTCCTTTCCAAAACATTGTTTGGACCTTCATATAAACAAGTAAGTAATTGTATAGTAATTGAAGTAGGGGAAGTTCACAACTCACAGGCAACTAACTTGGTTTCCACCTCTGGTCCTATCACAGCTCCCTCCCATTCAGAAGAATAGGGAGCTGAGTCTCTCCTTTTGTGGCACCCTAAGGAGATGAAATGAGAAGGGCTTTCCACAGGTCAAGTTTAAAAATCTGCCAATGGTGCCTGAGAATGGAGAAACATTGTACTGCAATAACCAGCTTTACTTCTAGTAGACAGTAAGCACTATATGAATGTTGATACTATCTCTTCTCCTTCTCCTCCTCCTCCTCTTCCTCTTCCTCCTCCTCCTCCTCCTCTCCTCTTCTTCTTCTTCTTCTTCTTCTTCTTCTTCTTCTTCTTCTTCTTCTTCTTCTTCTTTTCTTCTCTCCTCCTCCTCCTCTTCCACCTCTTTCTCTTCCTTCTCCTCCCCTTCTCCTTTTCTTCCTCTTGTTCCTCTTTTTTCTTCTCTTCCTCCTCCTCCTTCATCTTCTTATTTTAGTGATTTATCAGTTTGGTTATTGATTCTGATTCTTTCTCTACCCTTGGATAGCACTGCTAACTGGCAACCCAGTTGCTTCACTCTCAATTCAAGTCCCATCTTCTTCAAGAAAACTTTCCTAGTCGTCCTTAATCTTAGCACCTTCCCAGTTTATCCCTGTATATACACACACACACACACACACACACACACACACACACACACAGAGCTAATTAGTACATAGTTCTCTGCATGTTGCCTCCCCCATTAGGTTGTGAGCTCCTCAAGAGCAAGGACTGTTATTTCCCTTTCTCTGTATCCCAAGTACTTAGCACAGTGACTGGCAATAGATGCTTGTTGACCTGTTTGTTGACTTGACCTACTGGAATCATAACCTTTGTTTCTGGACATCTTCAGACTCTTTTGTGGCTAACTGGGAGGTGATCCCAGAACCATACTATACTTTTTAAAGAATCATAAAAAGTCAGAAGACATCTTAGAAGTCATCTGGCCAAACACTTCATTTTACAGATGAGAAAATTGAGGCTCAGAAACATTAATCAACTGGTCTAGGTATACATATTTTAATATCAGAGGCAGGATTTGAATACAGGCCTTCTTGGCCCAAATCTAGAACCACATCCACTGCACCATGATGTCTCTGGACTTTCCAGATTTTGTTTTGAATGACCTGCTTGCAACCTCTTGGCTATAAGCAAATCCTGGCTCCTGCCACTCCCCCTAAGTCAGATAGTCAGTCAACAACCATTTATTAAGTTCTTACTATGTGCTAAGCACTGCGTTAAGTACTGGAGATAGCAGTAAAAGCAATAATAACAAAAAATTCTCTTGTCCTTCAGGAAAATATATTCTATCATGGATGATAACATGTAAACAAACTAGACAGATAATATAAGTGTGTGTGTGTCTGTCTGTCTGTCTGTCTGTCACAGTGAGGTGGCACAGTGGATTGAACACCAGGCCAGGAGTAACTGACTTCAAATCTAGCTTCAGACACTTACTAGTTCTGTGATCCTAGGCAAGTCACTTAACCCTGTTTGCCTCAGTTTCCTCATCTGTCAAATGAGCAGGAGAAGGAAATGGAAAACCATTCTAGTCTCCTTGCCAAGAAAACCTAAAAAATGGGGTCACAAAGAGTTGAACACAACTGAAACAACTGAACAACAACAATATATGTATGTATATATACATACATACACAAATATGTGAGTATTCATACATGGAGTATCTCAAAAGTCTCAGTATAGTTTTAAGCTTTAACAAGTTTAAAACTATACTGACTTTTGGGATACCCTGTATATATGTGTGTGTGTATATATATAATATATATATGTATGTATATATATATGTGTGTGTATGTATGTATGTATGTATACACACACATATACACATATATATACACACACACATATATACATATAAACACATAGTAGATGGAAAGTAATCTGAGAAGGGAAAGAACTAGCAGCTAGGAGGACAAGGAAAGACCACCTATAGAAAGTAAGATTTGAACTTTGTCTTTTTTTATCATATATTTTCAATCAGCAAAAATCTGCCTTTTCTCCCTCCTATGCTAATCTCCCCATTCCTAATTGAGAATGAAAAAAAAAACCCTGATTAACAAACAAATATAGTCAAACAAAACAAATTTCCACATTGGCCTGTCCAAATAAAATATGTCTCATTCTGCAC